TTAAATATGCCTTACTTTTAGATGGACATTATCTGTTTGTATTGAAAATTTCATAGTGATAGCTTTATTGGTTTAATAATTATGTCATTTTTTTAAGAAATTTTTTTTTTCGACAATTGTCGTTATCCATGCTATATGCTTATAAAATTTTTTTTTCAAAAAATATAATAAGTTAATTCAAAATTCATGTGTTTAGTTTTGTTAAACATTGTATTGTAAATGTGTCCTCCAAATTTGAGCAGTCTAACTTTAAAAGCCAACAAGATACAACCAAAATAGTACAAAAAGAGTAATAATTCGATCACAGTTTTAAAAATTAAATACAAAGCCAAATAGTGGGAAAAAATAAATCACTAAAAAATTCATAACTTTTCTTCTATAAGTGATAGAAAGATTATCTTGGTGTCAATGGAAAGCTTAAAGTCAGCTCTTTCCAATGATATGCTCCTAGTGTATGTCAGATGTATCTGAAATTTTGAGTTGGAGTACCTACATAAACTATCCAAATATTTGTATGTAATAATTGAATATTTCTTAAGTATCTGCATCTTCCGTAAAAAAAAGGGGTGTGGTCACATCCAAGCAAAGTTGGGTAGAGCGAACTACTCAGTATACTGCGTAAACGGGGAACCATGGCCATGGCGTCTCTTGTAAAACACATAGTCATAGCGCGATGAAAATTGGCAAAACTGATAAATCAAATAGAGACATAATGAATATGAAGAAGGCATTATATTATTTCGACTTAATCTTAATGATGAAAGTTGCCTTATATTCACCAAGGATTTTCTCAAAGTTAACTGTAAATGAAAAAGAAATCAATTAAAATTTAGGCCAAGATGTCCTCTAACTCTAAAAGCAAAGGCTGGAAAAGGAACAAAATTGTGGACATAATAATTCTATTATGATTGAAGTAGCACCAACATCAAATAATTAAAAACTTGAATTTTAATGCACCCACGCCAATTTCCCATTTTTTTAGTAGTCTCCCTTAAAACTATAGTGGTGGTAATTGAATACTTCCTAAGTCATCTGCATCTTCCGCCATTAAAAAGGAGTGTGGTCAAATCCAAGCGAAGTCAGGCAGAGTGAGCTGCATAATATACTGCTCAAATGTACAACCATGGCGCCTCGGCACTATGAAAATTGTTCAGGCAGGAATACAATTTAGTTAAGCAGCCTAACCTAGCCCAACTAATTCTGAACCTAGAGATTAAACGAAGTGGCTGTAGGAACCCGGGTTCCAGAAGTGAGAGGTGGGGGGTTAAAAAAATAGGCTAATTTGAAGAGATAGCATCCTGGCGTCATTTGCATATTGTGCCTCTGGTTCCGAAAGGCCTGCTATTCTGATGTCATTTTTGGTAATTAATTTTAGTTAAACTGAAGAAGTAAGTATACAAAAATAAAGTCCATTCAATTATCTTGCTAATTGTGCCTTACAAACCCTTCTATTTTTATTAGTTTTTAATAAACCCAAACTCTCCCATCTGATACCCGGGTGCGAATTGTCGCAGCCAAGATTAAAATCCTAATTTAAAACTTACCCAATAACTAAAAAAATAAGCAATGCAGTAAGAAAGTAATTTGTCTGATAGTATAGCAGATTATTTAAGACCCTATTAGACCATTTTTCTGGATCATTTATTTGAGGTATCTGAAATCGTGCTGTTTCGAAAAGAAAATCTCCAATGGTACGCAAAGGTGCAAACTCGACTTGAGCCATTTTGTTGCCGGAAGTGTCGGACAGATGAAGTTGAATAAAAACTAAGAACTAATACTTTGTTAGTTCATTAATGTGTACTGCTTTACTTATATATATAATAACTATTAGGCCTTCATTAAACAATGCCTCTCTAGTTTCCATAATATTTTAATTTCTGGGACATATTTTAATAATTAAAATTCATATTTGTTTCAGAATAATTGACTTGGTCACGTTACTAAGATCACATGACTAATGTTTTTAAACGAAAATGGCGACTTGCAGGATAATAGTATTCTGCTGTATTTTCTCAATGTTGATATGCAGCGCTGCATCATATGAACCAACATGGGAGTCCCTCGATTCAAGACCTATTCCTTCGTGGTATGATGACTCTAAATTGGGAATATTCATTCACTGGGGAGTTTTCTCGGTACCAAGCTATTCTTCAGAATGGTTTTGGTGGAATTGGCAGGGAGAGCCGACCCCGGCTATACTTGACTTTATGGCCACTAACTACAAACCAGATTTCACGTATGCAGATTTTGCTGAAGATTTTACGGCAGAATTTTTTGACGCCTCAGAATGGATAGATATGTTTCAAAGTTCAGGAGCAAAGTAAGAATGAAATTATTGAAATGTCACTAAATGTGGCTAATGTAGAGCTTGAAAATGAATGCCCTGCGTCATTTGCTAGTTTATTATAGTTGCAGTGAGTGAATTAGGGTTTAGGTTAGGTTGAGGGATAGATTTAGGGTTCAGGTTAGGCATGGGTATCGATACAGGGTTCAGGTTAGGCATAGAGATCGATTTAGGGTTCAGGTTAGGCATAGGGATCGATTTGGGATACATTCGGATGATTAGTCGCGGCCATCGATTAAATAGTGACATTCGTCCTCTACATTTACCTGAAATGTTAATTTAAAAAAAAGACTAAAACTTGAATTTTTTGTCTTGTTAAGTGCAATTTGAACAATCTTACCTGTGAACAATTTTATGCATATGTGATTGCTAACAAGGATCTTCTGCAAAAAGTTGGCTCCTCTGAGAAATATGTCATGTATTTAATAAAGATTATAAGTATAAGGTAATGATTGTACAATTGGCTATTTAAATAATGTTTTTTGAAATTTTGAAAAAGGCGTCCATTGAATTTGTTTTTTTAACGTGACTGTTTCTTGGTTGATTCACAAAGAGTAAGATACACTTAATTGGCAGCTATTACAATAAAATTGTGCTGACTGTGAGTTTAATCCGGGACGATTCAAATGAAACATTCAAAATGTCCTCCTTTGTCTTCTTTTTTGTTTTATTATGTCCTCCTTTTGGTGTCCATGTATCTGGCAACCCTATGTTTGGGCAACTTCTCCAATCAGCTGTTAGCACCTGTAGATATTTAATATTTATTGATTATTTTATATTATTGCCAATTGTTACTGAAGCACTTATTGTGGAAATTATGAAATATGTTTTTCATATGCCCAGTTTGTGTACATAGTTAAAGGAATTTTTATAACTTTATGGGCAGGCCTGCACCTAGAGGGTGGGAGACGCAACCTTGGCACTTGTCAGGGGCCAGAGCAAGATAGGGGCCCAGAATTTCAGTTTAATACGGTAGAAATGTTTTTAGCCCTGCAATGAGCTTTCCACATTAAAATCAACCATACCAATTAGTTAAAATTGCTCAAATAAATTTTTGACCATGTTGTTATTACAAAGATCTAAGTTCTAAGGCACAAATTCAGGCAACACAAAAAGTATGAAGAAAGGTGGCCCCAGGTGGAAAGGCATTATTGCTCATTGCATTTTCAGAAAAAGACACTATTTAAAATGTAGTAGAATATATTTTTTGGGCTAAATTTTGGGTTAACAGAATCGGTTTTGCGAAGACTTGTCTCACCCTAAGCGCAGTGATGTCATTTTAAGGAATCCCGACACTTGAGTGAATGGACCAATTGTTGAACTTCAACGATGTGTGTGATAACTTTCCGGTTCTTCACTGAGCACTATGTGCATCATAAACTAAATCTGACAATCGATATGGTTAATATGAATTATATTAAAATGAAATTTTCCATTAGATCTAATTTTTATTAAAATTAACAAGTTTCAAAAGAAATGAAACAATCAACCCATCCTTGCTGATGCTCCAAGATCCAACACCGGTGGAGAAAAGAAGATGCATTCTAAAAGTGCTGTCTTACTGATTAGTTGAAAATCAAAGTAGCCGTATGCTAAAACTTTGTTAACACAAGTGAAACTACAACTAAATTTGTATTGGAAATGTCTTTCTTTCATTTTGACACCACTGTTGTTTAAGTGATATCTCCTATTTCAAAATTATTCTTAACAGCACTTAAATTTGATAATTAATTTTGAGTATCTTAACATTCAATATTTGTTGCGGGATTCTTAATTTTACCCTGTTGATTTAATTTTATTAAATATTTAACACTAGGGCTGAACCAGGTGCAGTTGTTTTTACATCCTGTCCCAGTATTTTGGGAAAATACCCTTTGGGTCCAAGTGTTACAAAAAAAGTTAACTTCTCATTTTCTAAAATATGCAACAAAATCTACTACAGTACCCAATGTAGTAAAGAGAGGTCATGACCTACAACTTTTTGTGTCAAGAAATAACAAACTGATAGTAACAGGCAGTTGCCGGATCATAGAGTAGAGATGATGTTGTACGCATGAAGCTAGGTATGTGACAGAGAAAACAATAGCACCACTGAATAATAGTCCCCTCCCCTAAAGAAAACAAATGAAGATATTTACCTGAGCTCAGACGTCACGCATGAATCTCACTGCATGATAGACTTTTTTCCCCCTCTTTACTATGTGGATGAATCAGAGGCAAAATAAATATATTAAACATCATGATCTACACAGATGAAAGTGTATAGTACTTTTTTTACATTAGTATTTTAGTTTGCACGGTGAGATCAAATTAATAAATAAATGGTGAATTATTTTTTTTGAAGCCTTTTTTGAGTGAACGAAATTATGCATTTCTTAATAATGTGGTATTAATACTTTTCTTACACTATTCAGATATATTGTGTTTGTGAGCAAACATCACGAAGGGTTCACAAACTGGCCATCCAAGTACTCTTTTAATTGGAACTCTGCAGCAGTGGGGCCAAACAGAGATATTGTTGGTGAGAAGTGACATTATATTCTGATCCTGCTAAAGGTTATATATAGGGCCAGTTCTGTAAAAAAATGTTCAACTGGGGACATTGAAATAGAGAGCACTTTGATATTGAAAAAAACAACATATTAAATAATAGGAAAAGTAAAATTTTTATGGGTGGGGGTTATGTGTCAGAATAATTATATATAATTGTATGACACAACATTCACAATCAACCCCACACACATTTATCTGGAGACCAAAGCTCTATAACAGACAATATTTTGAAGAAGCATTTTCCAATCATTAATATGATGATATATTTATTCATTTTTTAAAACATAGCTGGATTTTATTTTCTTATAACATTTTAAGTAACTGAAAATTGCTTATAATTATTTATATTAAATTATATTTGCTAGATTTATTTTACTATAAACTGTCATAACAAAAGATATTGAAAAGTAATTTATAGTTTAAAATATGCTAAGTGAATTTTCTTACATGCTCCACTCCATGCAACTATTCTCATATGTGTGGGGATAAGTAATCCAAATCTATTGTCTGCTGTTTAGGTGAACTAATGAATGCAACCCGACAAAAAAGTAATTTAAGATTCGGCCTATACCATTCTATGTTTGAATGGTTTCACCCTCTGTATATTGCTGACAAAAATGCTGGCTACAAGACTCAAGATTTTGTAACTGTAAGTTCACATACTTGATTAAACAATAGCCTGAATGATCTCTTAAGACTCCTTAAATGAAAATAACTTTGGAGTGCCCAATGTTTCTATTATGTATATGAACAAACAGCAGAGATTGACTCTATCATGGACTTTATGCTTTACATTAGAAGAAATAACATGCTGTGGCTCCCACTACACATTATGAATTTTATTTATGACATCTGAAATCCTCCACTGATTTCATAAATTTGGTTTTTATTTTCAATCCCATCATAATCTATGAGTGTAAGGTTATGTTGTTATTCATGCGATCTGTCAAAGGCCAGTAAGGCAAAGATGGCAGAAAATTGTCCAGTTATAATAATGCAAACACATGTTGACGTGTAAGAATCCTAAAGTAGCAACATCCTACAAAATTAATCTAGTGTACTAGTATGCAAGAGTAAAAAAAATCTCACTGTGAAATATGGTAATGTTGAACATAATTATTCTTGTAAGAATTATTTTTTGTCCAGCATTTCTTTCTTTCTCATTTAGAAAAGAATAAAAAATGTGACAAATGCATAATCTAAATTGCATCAAGATATTCAAATTTAAAAAAAAACTCCATTTCCTAGTTTACTGCTTTAATATATTTTTTAACCTTGAACTTGAACGGTTGAATACATGTATTTTGATACCCTGTACTTTTATTTATAACACATTTTGAGTTTTTCTGTTAAATCCAATATAAATATTGATTTTTTCTTTAATTTAAATTATTTAAAACTTAATGAATTTGAAAATTATTTGACCTTTTCTTTTTAGAAATTAAGCAAAATAATCACTTAACCCGATTAGTCCCCCTACTGTAATTGTTATGTTAGAATACAGGAGAAGTTATAGTATCTTTACCCATGTTATCTGTGAGTAACTTTTCAGCAAAAAACTTTACCAGAGCTGTATGAGATTGTCAATACCTACAAGCCAGATGTTGTGTGGTCAGATGGTGATTGGGATGCCCCTGATGTATACTGGAATTCAAAAGAGTTCCTGGCTTGGCTCTATACAGACAGGTAAAAATGCATTTTCGTTGGCTTCATTAAGTTATCGATTTTCTTCCCCATGTTTATTTTAGTTCCCTGTAAAGTGATATTTCAATTAAAAATAAGGATTTAATACATTTATCTACAGATACAGTTTGATGGTCTAATTACAGATTTTTATGATGTTAGTTTATATTCACTTCATCTACTTCCATCACATACTTCTTATAGCATTCTGCTGTATTCTTTAAAGCAGCATTCCCCATGTAGTGGTCCACTGATTGGCACTTGTTATTGAGCATTGCATTGACCGTCCGCAAGCCTGGCATTGACGGTCGGCACAATAGGAATATTTATGGTCAAATAAATAAATTAAAATAAATAAATCTGGCACCTGTCTCTGGTTCATTTTCAAAATTTGTCCACTGGTCCGCTTAACTTAATGTTTGGGAAGAGCTGCTTTGAAATCTCTTCTGCTGTCCTCATTCACAGCCCTGTCAAAGACAGTGTTGTTGTAAACGACAGATGGGGACACAATATCTCTTGCCATCACGGGGGTTTCTACACTTGTGGAGACAGGTACAATCCAGGTAAGATCAATGTTCCAGTTACATTTCAGATAAGATCATTTCTCCAGCAAGATCAAGAAATGAAAGGGCAAGAACCTCCCTTTGAATATCCCATTTAGGGGTGACTAACACATAGCCCCGTATAAGTCTGACAACAAGGTGATTGGAAATTTGTGTTAGTTGGTTGACTAATCAAAGCAACATGAACAAAAACTGGTGAATTTACTGCATGATGTTTAATGACTTGTAAGCGTGATAGGACCATCAAAGTTTGGTGGTCCTCTTTTTTTTTTCTTTTTTTTTTTTAATTAAAATTTTTTTTTAACCTATTTAAAATTATTTCTAAAGTAAGTGTTAGTAAGAACAGTGCTGTTGAGATTTATTAAAATTTATATCAAAGCTTTTGAGGAAAAGCTTTTGGGTGTTACTTCTCATTGAGAAGTAAAATATCAGCTTCATCATACTGCTTTAAATATTTCTTTAATTAAATTTTGTATTTATTTATTTTCTTATTTAAATGTTGGTGGTTTATGACAGAAGCATGCACACTTGTGATGCAATAAGTTTTATTTGTAGTAAGTTTTACTTTCATGTTCTTGGTCTCTTTGTTGCAGGCGTTTTGCAGAAACACAAGTGGGAGAATGCAATGACCATTGATAAGTATTCTTGGGGATTTCGAAGGAATGCCAGATTAGCCGACTACCTGACCATAGAAGAACTGCTGCAGACCTTCATTATAACTGTTAGGTCAGCTGATTTTTTTTTTTTAGCAAGTACTGGTCTTATCTTGTAGAGACAAGCCTTTGGGAAATTAATTTTTTTATTGAAAATGGAATGTTAAAAATAAATTTAAAAATAGTGGCTGTAATAAAATATGTCTATGTTGAAACTTTAAAGTAAATTTGTGTGTTTTGATAATGCTTAAATAGGTGTTACTTTTCAATAAAAGTTATTTGTAAATAAATGTTACAAATATTATTTTTCAATAAATGTTATACATTATTTTCCAATCAATGTTATAAATTGTTATTTTTCAATCAATGTTTTTTTTTTCCAACAGCTGTGGGGGGAACATGTTGATGAATGTCGGGCCTCCAAAGCACGGTCACATAGATCCCATCTATGAAGAAAGGCTTCGGCAGTTGGGCAGTTGGCTCAAACAGAACGGTGATGGTATATACAGCACAAGGCCATGGACATATCAAAATGATACTTTGACAGCTAATGTGTGGTGAGATGCTCTATTATAATTTGTTTGAAATAACCATAACATATTTATGTGCTGGTACATTTCCCTTTCTCTTTTAAAAAGATGTTGGTAAAATCAAGCCATCTCTTTGAGAAATAGATGGTGTGAGTACTTTAAGTTGGTCCAGGTTTTTTTTAACTTGCAAATAACATTGTATGTAGAACCAGTTAGGATTACCAGATATATCTCAAATTTTCTTTTTTCCAAACAAATATTTCTGAAGTCATCCCCTGTTTATATTTGAACCTCTTGTGTTGTAATCAAATTTCTCGATGAGTTTAATAGTACCTGTTTTGATTAATTTTCTGATTAAAACTCTAGAATTTTCGGTAGCAAAAGAAGACTAAAAAAAGAGGTATCAGAAGTGTCCTTGATCTTGGGTAAAAAAGAAAGAGAGCTCCGTTCATACAAAAAGCCAAAACTCTGGTTCACATCTTTTCCTCTGTCATCCACTTCTACTTATGTCTGATTTAAGTTTTTCTTTCATTTAATATATAACAGTGGCATGTCCAGTTCTGTAAGTTGTACGAAATAAAAGAAGTTCATCTTAGTCTTTTCAAATTATAGAAAATATGATTAGATTTCATTGATCATCCCAACCCCCTTAAATCAATTCAGCCAACTGGTGGTTTAAGAAGTTGGCCTGGTCCACTATGAACCAGGAAGTAATTAGTTATAACAAATCTACCATATTGACCACAATTCTCTGCTAACATCAATAAAAATAATTTTGACATACTCAAATCAATGAAATACTGAGATAAAATAAGAAACTTGTGTGGAAGTCTGCTTTACACACTCATGTGTCATTCATGGGATTGATAAGAAACTAACAATTTGTGTAGATGTAACAGTATAGTTAAGCTTTATTAACTAAAAAACCAATATACAAACTATTAAAGTTTCGTCATCAATGCGTACAGTACGTTGTTGTGCAGCCAAGTCATAGATATCTTCCTGATGAGAGGACACCTGATACCAAGAGGCTTGAATGTATTTCATAAGTCAGTGATACTGGCGTTGGTCATATGATACTCTAGTTATAGCTGCCAAACAATAGAGGTGGAAATGCATTAACTTCCTATCTGCTCAAGTGACACACTTTATAAGAACCCCAATTAGTGCTCTCCCCCCCCCCCCTCCCGGTTAGCCCCCACCACAATTTTTTTCAACCCCCACCCCCATTTGAGTCCCTCCCCCCCCCCCCCCTGCAGGGTATGCCACAGCACAATTTTTTTCAAGCCCCTGAACTATATTAGTATTCTAATGCCCCACCCCTGTTTACACAGCAGACTTATTGCACTATATTTTAATTGAGACTATTTCCGAAAAACAAAAGAAAATGTTACGCACCGAACACACATATGGTATTTTTCGAGAACTCAATTAGCGCAGTTATCAGGAATTTTATTTTGCCAGCTATTGAACTCAGAATTATTCAATACTTCCTTACATACCCAGAGAATCAAACTTATTTATAAATCTGAAAATGGGCATCTAAGATTACCAAGAAAGAAAAAAGATGAAATTTGAACAACGCAATTCTTTGTTGCTAATGGGTTTTCCGACATTTTATCCAGGTACACATTAAAAAAATCCCAGACTGCAAAAGATATTTATGCCTTTGTGTTTAACTGGCCGAGCGGCAAGACCCTGTCTCTCGGCGGCCCACTCACCACAGTGGCTACAACCATATCTCTGCTCGGCTACCCTGGATATTTAAGCTTCAATACAAGGCAGCCGTCCGGTGTTGATATCATCATCCCTGACATCCCAATCAGCAAGATGCCAAACACCTGGCTCTGGACATTTAAAATAACAGCTGTTGCCAATTAAGAGTTCTTTCAACACGCTTGAATGTTAAAGATTTTCAAAATTTTTTTTTGGGTACTTTTAGTACTTGAAATAAGTTTATTAGATTCAGTTTTAAAAGAATCTTTTGAATATTTTTTTGCTTCAAATATATTTAAAGCACCATTTTTTAAATTTCTATATTAATGTAACAAACGGGTGATGAATTTGTAATAATATGATGGACATAAGCTGAGATTTAACCACTTATGTGTATAAGTATATGAGGTGTAGATGTCATTTACATGCAATTTTTACCACACGAAAAAGGTTAGATCATATTGAAATATTTTGTAGCAATTTTTTAAAATTTTTATAACCTTTTTTTTTCTCAGAGTGAGCATTATGCACTTGCAAGATTACTGTAATCACTTGTTTCCTTTGTTTTAAAATCCATTTTTAAATTGTTTTATATTTTTCCTCGCATATATTCCAAGTGGTCTCTTTCTGACCACTTCTATGTATTTCTCTATGCGACCCAGCTGTTTCTTACCACTTCAATGTATTTATTGATGTGACCATCATCAGGTTCCTAGTCACGTAGAGTCGACACGACACGTGTACTTAGATGTCAGATTAAAATAAGACTGTAAAAATCATAATTTTGTTGTGTGAAAAGGGGGGGGGGGGACATTAGAATAGTTATAGAGTTTGGTTGGGGGGAGAGGGGTTGGTGGTTATCAACATTAATAACATATCAATTATAATTTAAGTCACTCTCCTACACACCCCATCGTCCCCACACCTGGCACGCCACTGCACCCACACCTACCATCTCACTGCACCCACATCTGAACCCATAGTGTCTGTTGAAATTCAGCTGAGTATTTGATAATTTCATAGCAGAGAGTTATGTTGCTATGCCATAATCACTTTCCTCCCACTAACAAACCAGTTCCCACTATCAAACCAGTTTTTTTACTATCAAACCTGTTCTCACTATCAAACCAGTTCCCACCATCAAACCACTTCACACAATCAAACCAGTTCCCAACATCAAACCAGTTCCCACCATCAAACCAGTTCCCACATCCATTCAGTTCCCGCCAAACCTCTCAAATTTTTATTAGTACTTTCAGTCATTACCGACAACTAATTTTTAAAACCCCTTGTTACATAACAATGAACTTGTTACAAATCACGTGACGTGTGCATTCAACACAAAATTCAGATAAAACAATACTTAAAAGTGACTAGCAATGTCTCTAAAAAAAAATTATTATTCCTTGTTATTTATTTGAAGAGCATTTTTTATCAACAGATATAAACATTTTTATTGTTTTTACCCATCTCACTTTTTTAAAAGAAGCACTTTCAAATTTGACTTTAACGTGTGACCCTGACCAGCCCTACCCCAGGGCTATTCATTGCTTGTGCTGAGAGGGGGGGGCGAGACATCGTTTAAATAATTATTACATGGTATCCAAGCAGATATCTGTATATCTGTTGTGACGGAAAACTAAGTGATAGTATCTCAATGGCATTTGTCGACAATCGCAAGTTAGATTATCTGAAAGCTAAAGTGACAGCAAATTGGTATTATCTGAATGTTTTTATTTTTTTTATAGTGTTTTTTAAAAAGTTATTGTGATAATAACAATTATTGTGACATAGTACATAGGTAGGAAAGGAAGGTATGTTATCTAAAGTTATTGAAGCAATAACGGCCCTATGTTTCGTTTCATCATGAATATAATATTTTAACTCACTGTTTTGTGTAATATTTTGATGTTTTCTTGTAAGGGATTTTATTTCTATAACAAACATTTTTAATAAACTTTATTTATTGTGGGAATAAAAAAAAAACAAAAAAAAAAAAAAACTGTGACTAATCTTTTTTTAAAAAATGCTTTAAACCAGAGGCTCTCAACCTTTCAAACGCTGCGACTCTTTAATACAGTTCCTCATGTTGTGGTGACCCCCACCCCCCAAAACCATAAAAATATTTTCATTGCAACTTCATATATTGAGTTTTACAATTGTCTTAGGTGACCCCCGTGTAAGGGTCGGAAAGACTCAGAAAAATCNTCACTTTATATATATATATATATATATATATATATATATATATATATATATATATATATTTATTTATTTTATTTAATTACATTACTTTTTATCTGGGTGGGGGGTGGTGGTGTGGTTTGGGGGGGGGGAATGTTTTGAAAAAGTGTCCCTAGGGATTGAGGTGCGACGACGCTGTAAACAGGTTAAGAACCCCTGCTATGGCAAATCCCTTACCACAAGCTTTTTTTTTGTCTTCAATTCTACGGCTAAAGCCATCATTCGTATCCTCATTCCCAGACGCTGGCCGGTACAGTGGTGGTCACTGGTGGTCAGTGGTGGTCACTGGGTCTGTCCTAAATGTATCTATAATTTAGCATAATAAGTTGGTTTCTGACCTAAGCCTGCTCTCTCATCACATCTCTGACCTCAGACTGCTCTCTCATCACATCTCTGACCTCAGACTGCTCTGTCGTCACATCTCTGACCTCAGCCTGCTCTCTCATCACATCTCTGACCTAAGACTGCTCTCTCATCACATCTCTGACCTCAGACTGCTCTCTCCTCACATCTCTGACCTAAGACTGCTCTGTCGTCACATCTCTGACCTCAGCCTGCTCTCTCATCACATCTCTGACCTAAGACTGCTCTCTCCTCACATCTCTGACCTCAGCTTGCTAGTCGTCACATCTCTCCAACAAGATTTTTATTTCCAATCAAGTTAATACAAAACAATTTTAAAAAAAAATTAAAAATACGATGTCAGGAGGGAAAACAAGGAATTGAGTGAAAAAAAAGTGTGTGGGGGGGGGGGTCCTGATAAAACGTTTCCCCATACTTAGTTTTTCCACTCAATTCCTTGTTTTTCCCCTCCTTACATCGTAATTAAAAACAAAAATACGATGAAAGGAGGGGAAAAAAACAAGGAATTGAGTGGGAAAAAAAAATTATGGGGAAACCTGAAAAATGCGTTAGTAGCGTTCCTCTTTTCAGGTTTTAACATACTTGAACTCATTTCCTTTTTTTTTTATTTTTTAACCTGAGTGCAGTCTTACCCCACCCCCACTTTAATACCAAGAGGGATAAAAGAAAGAGATTTGAACCCTAGTCTTCCGACTCCCCCCCCCCATCCAAATCCAAGAGCCCTGCATCAGAGCAGGGTGTCACCAGCTAAGGCAGACCAGGAGGAGGTCCATGGGGAAAGTCTTGGGGAAAAAAATTGGAGGCTGTTGACACCATGATTGTAACACTCTGGGTGACACCAAAAGCTTGGTGATGATACTGCATCCAACAAATGGAAACTTTTCGCAAAATATATTACCTTTTTAAAAAAAAAAAAAAATTTTGAGGGGGGAAAAAAGGGGTGGGGAGGCGATTTAAAATTCTTCATGACCTAACTGGCGACACGATTCCTGATGTGAAGTGTACAAATATTCCAAGATTATGCTCGCAGATTTCTCTCCCGCTCAATAACCAACTAAACCTGGTATTAGTTGCCCAGGACAAACGTATTCCAGGGGGCTAAAACTGTCACCAAAATAGCGCTGACTTTAAGAGCCCCTTTGAGCTTCTAGGTATTAGCCATGCTTTGGTCATACAATAATGTCGTCTTTGTATTAAATGGGTTTGTGAAATGTGGCGGGGTGGGGGGGTTGCACCGACAATGTCGGTGGAAACGAGAAGGTGGCTTTACATTTGTAGCGTTATATTACAGGCAATTTGTGTGTTGGTACGAAGTGAACCATTCGCGTTACAGAACGGCAATTTGTGTTTGGTATGAAGTGAACCATTCGCGTTACAGAACGGCAATTTGTGTGTTGGTACGAAGTGAACCATTCGCGTTACAGAACGGCAATTTGTGTTGAAAGCTAATATAATTGATCTTTCGTATGGGAAAATGTGTGTATAGATGAATGGGACAATGGGTGTATAGATGAATGGGACAATTGGTGTATAGATGAATGGGTCAATTGGTGTATAGATGAATGGGACAGTTGAGACAGTTGGTGTATAGATGAATGGGAAAATTGGTGTATAGATGAATGGGACCGTTGGTGTATAGATGAATGGGACCGTTGGTGTATAGATGAATGGGACAGTTGGTGTATAGATGAATGGGACCGTTGGTGTATAGATGAATGGGACAGTTGGTGTATAGATGAATGGGACAGTTGGTGTATAGATGAATGGGACAGTTGGTGTATAGATGAATGGGACAGTTGGTGTATAGATGAATGGGGCAGTTGGTGTAAAGATGAATGGGGCAGTTGGTGTATAGATGAATGGGACAGTTGGTGTATAGATGAATGGAACAGTTGGTGTATAGATGAATGGGACAATTTGTGTATAGATAAATGGGAATTCGTCTTGTTATACTCTGCCGTGGGTAACTTAGGGCAGAGAGCTCGCGTGGTCGCATTGTTTCAGAGTAACCAGTTTCAATAGTTATTATAATTGCTGAATACATTGTCCTTTCAGAGCAATCAAGTTCAGCGCGTTCTCTCACAAAATTCTTGCCGTACCCACCTTGGGTACTCGTACCACACTTTGGGAAACGCTGCCATAGGCTATCCAATAACATTAGGCAGTATTAACCGATAAAGACAAAACCAAAGGCCACCGAGAATCAAATATGTGATTATTATATTATACGTTTATTTTTTTTTACTCTAACGTCACATGGTGCTCATTCGTTTGAACAACAACAACAACAAAAAATCATTTCTAGGGAAACTACGAAAACACTCAAGCAATTAAAAAATCAACAGATTCATAGCAAACAATTATTATTTGTTTTTTTTATTACCGAACTTTAGGATTTATAAATTAAATATCTCCTAAATACCGAAACGGGTTTTATTTGCCGATAAACTCCGGGATAATCTGAGCTTGAGAGATCCGTCGGTTCAAAAGCATCATCGACAATCTCTTCCGCAAGCCACTGTCCTGCAAGATGGCGGCCAGCCTCTCTCGGTCTGTCATGGCGGCCTGACCTTGCTCCATGGTTCTCTTTCGCTTTCCTAAAAACTCAGAGTAACGCTTAACGGGGTGGACATTAACGGGTATGAGAGACTGTGCAGAAGGCTCCCAGCCTGGCTGGAGAAGTTCGGGCGAGGTGATGAAGTAAGTCCCACTCTGCTCCCCCTGTCCAAACGGCCGCTTCCCTATGAAGTCATACGGGGCACGTTTTCCGAGAAAGTCGTACCGTTTGCCCAGAAAGTCGTACCGCTTACCAATGAAATCGTAGGACTGGCGTTTTCCGAGAAAGTCGTACCGTTTCCCGAGAAAGTCGTACGGCCTCTTTCCGACGAACTCGTACTGGCGCTTCCCTTGCTCGTCGGCGCCGAGGAGCCGTCTCATCAGGTCCAGGGCCTCTGGATTCTCGGCTTCTGCTCCACCGGAGCCATCGTCAGAAACCAAATCAGGGTGCCACGAGCTCCTCTTCCCAACAAACTCGTTGAATTTCTTGGACACGAGGAGAGGCTGGTCGTACGGCCCGGCTATGGGCTTCCCGTGATTCTGATACTGGGCGCCGTCCTCGTCCACGGAAGGCTTTTTGTCGAAGATTTCCCCCGAGTCTTGCTTGTCGTCGGGGCCACCTAGCACGGCGTATTGGTTTTTGGGGGTCAGCGAAAAAGCGAAGCGCAGGTCCTCCGGAGACGAGTCTGCCGTGTTTAGAGCGTCGTCGAAAACGATACCCGGCGACCTTTCTGCCCTCTGACCTTGTCCTTTGATATTTGCCTCTGTAAAAAGAGTAAGTTTTTTTGGGAAATAAATTAATAGAGAGGGCTACTGTAGAGATGAGTACTTAGAAGACTACCATACAGAGCTACTATAGAGAGGGCTAACATAGATAGGACTGAAATGATTATGAAGAATAACAAAATGGTTTCAATTTTTTTGTTTACATATGTAAGACAGTAATGAGATGACAACAGATTGTTGCAAAAACATTACAAAGTAAAATACTTTTATTTTTTGTTTAGCGAAACTTTTGTTTCCTGATCAGATTCTTGACACAGCAAAGGAACATAATTGTTACACACAAAATCTTGTATACTACAACAATTACTTCAATCAACTGACAGATTCAAAACACACAGATAGAGAGAGACAGAGAGAGAGGGAGAGAGAGAGAGAGAGAGAAAGAAAGAGAGAGCGAGAGAGAGACAGAGAGATAGAGAGAGATGGACAGATTGATAGATAGAGAGAGGGAGAGAGAGAGAGGGGGAGAGAGAAAGAAAGAGAGAGGGAGAGAGACAGAGAGATAAAGAGAGATAAAGAGAGAGAGAGAGAGAGAGTAAATTTCAAATTGCCTCAATTTACCTCATACAAATTGCCGCCGCTTGTGCAATGGTTAACTTGTCTATACCTGCTGCCGCCTGTGCGTTGGTAGACTGGCGTATACCTGCTGCCGCCTGTGCGTTGGTAGACTGGCGTATACCTGCTGCTGCCTGTGCGTTGGTAGACTGGCGTATACCTGCTGCGCCTGTGCTTTGGTAGACTGGCGTACCTGCTGCCGCCTGTGCTTTGGTAGACTGGCGTATACCTGCTGCCGCCTGTGCGTTGGTAGGCTGGCTTATACCTGCTGCCGCCTGTGCGTTGGTAGACCGACTTACACCTGCTGCCGCTTGTGCGATAGTTGACCGACTTACACCTGCTGCCGCTGGAACGATTATAATCTTGGCTCTACCTGCTGCCGCTTGTGATTGGAGTCAACCACTTGGGTCGCTGTGACTACCATCTTTTTTTTTTTTTTGCTGCTGCTATCAAGTTATTCAGCATGGATACCTGCTGCTATCGAGGTAGCATGGCTACCTGCTGCTTTCAAGTTATTCAGCATGGCTACCTGTTGCCACCGAGTTAGCATGGCTACCTGCTGCTTTCAAGTTATTCAGCATGGCTACCTGTTGCCACCGAGTTAGCATGGCTACCTGCTGCTCCTTCTACCATAACAAAACTTACCCCTCACACCTAATAGCTAGCACTTGTATCACAGGGTTTTTAACATATTTTTTTTTCAAATGTGGTGCTGGGTGTTTGTGTATGTGGAGGGAGAGGGGGTCACACTAAAACACAAAACTTTCACACTGCAGTACACCTCCAGGACCTTTTTCTTTATTCAGTACAAATCTAAATCTGACCTAGAATGAGTGCAAACGTAGGGAAAAGGGCACTCTAAGACAGCTTGCGTAGATCTGACCTAGAATGAGTGCAAACGTAGGGAAAAGGGCACTCTAAGACAGCTTGCGTAGATCTGACCTAGAATGAGTGCAAACGTAGGGAAAAGGGCACTCTAAGACAGCTTGCGTAGATATGACCTAGAATGAGTGCAAACGTAGGGAAAAGGGCACTCTAAGACAGCTTGCGTAGATCTGACCTAGAATGAGTGCAAACGTAGGGAAAAGGGCACTCTAAGACAGCTTTCATAGATCTGACCTGGAGTAAGTGCCAACAGAGGAAAATTGCACTCCTAGACACCTTTCATTGATCTGACCTAAAGTAGGTACCAACATAAGAAAATGACACTCTTAGACAGCTTTCATAGATCTGACCTAGAATGAGTGCAAACATAGGAAAATAGCCTCTTAGACAGCTTTCATAGATCTGACCTGGAGTAAGTGCCAACAGAGGAAAATTGCACTCTTAGACACCTTTCATTGATCTGACCTGGAGTAGGTACCAACATAAGAAAACGACACTCTTAGACAGCTTTCATAGATCTGACCTAGAATGAATGCAAAAATAGGGAAAAGGGCACTCTAAGACAGCTTTCATAGATCTAACCTAGAATGAGTGCAAACATAGGAAAATGACACTCTTAGACAGCTTTCACAGATCTGACCTAGAATGAGTGCAAACATAGGAAAAGGAAACTCTTAGACAGCTTTCATAGATCTGACCTAGAATGAGTGCAAACATAGGAAAATGACACTCTTAGACAGCTTTCACAGATCTGACCTAGAATGAGTGAAAAAAACATAGGAAAATGACACTCTTAGACAGCTTTCATAGATCTGACCTAGAATGAGTGCAAACATAGGAAAATAACACTCTTAGACAGCTTTCATAGATCTGACCTAGAATGAGTGCAAACATAGGAAAATGACACTCTTAGACAGCTTTCATAGATCTGACCTAGAATGAGTGAAAAAAACATAGGAAAATGACACTCTTAGACAGCTTTCATAGATCTGACCTAGAATTAGTGAAAAAACATAGAAAAATGACACTCTTAGACAGCTTTCATAGATCTGACCTAGAATGAGTGCAAACAAAGGAAAATGACACTCTTAGACAGCTTTCATAGATCTCACCTAGAATGAGTGCAAACATAGGAAAATGACACTCTTAGACAGCTTTCATAGATCTGACCTAGAATGAGTGAAAAAAACATAGGAAAATGACACTCTTAGACAGCTTTCATAGATCTGACCTAGAATGAGTGCAAACATAGGAAAATGACACTCTTAGACAGCTTTCATAGATCTGACCTAGAATGAGTGAAAAAAACAGGAAAATGACACTCTTAGACAGCTTTCATAGATATCTGACCTGAAGAAAAGCAGGAAAACTTTTTTTTGTTTGTTAGAAGAAGCAGATTTTTTTTTTATGCTCCTACAGAGAAAGGTCCTCGATTTTGGTACCATCTGTAGATGTCTGTACTCTCAAACCCATCATTTTCATCTATAGAAATAATATCAAAGCACATTTTGGCGCCCCTAACTAGTCTGGCGCCCAGTGACCTATGCCCCCCCCCGCCCGCCCCTTAGCTCCGCCTCTGAGCAGGTCAGCTGATTTTGACCTTGTCATTGCAATAGATCTCAAGTTAGCAGTTCTTTTTGGGTGAGGTTTTGAATGGGTGATATTGAAACCACGCCCACTACCGGACAAACATTCACCAGTTGTTCATGTGTTGTTGTTTTTTTTTGTAATTTAAAAAAGTAGGATTTTAAATAAATGAATACATATAAAAATAATAAAAAATACCATTTTCACACCAAAAATAAATATTTATAAACAACAACAAAAAGCACAACACAACCCCGTAGGAAAAGAAAAAAAAACACTTTTGAAATAAATACAAATTAAAAATAAATATATTTAAAAAAAAACACCAACACCTTTTTAAGCTCACGGGGTGGGGGAATAGGGGGGGGGCCTCCAGAGAGGTCATCACTACACAAGTCAGGTGTTGTTATATAACAAGCACGCAACGAGCAAGGAGTTACTTCAGGGCTGGATAAACCATTAGGAAAACAAGGCACGTGCCTAGGGCACCAAGCATTTGGGGGGCACCACAAGTCCTCAATAAAAATGTGTATATTGTCCAGGTAGCGTAATTGCATGGCATAAGCAAATCGCAAATGTAATATTGAATCGCACATTATTTAACCTTGGTCCCACAACCCGAGGTAAAATCCTCCCCCCCCCCCCCCCCCTCTTTTTTTTTATTTTTTTTTTTTTTTTTTTTTTTTCAGTGTTTTTTTTGTTGCGAAAATTAACTTTGATGATGTACTCAAAAACTTTGCCAGACGTAAATCTAGAAAAAAAAAGAACTTTAAAATGTAAATGTGTGCTCTCTCTGACTTTCTTATCTATCAAAAAAGTAACAGTATTTTTGTCTACTGTTATTACACAATTAATTAACTATTGATTTTAATACAGAAATAACTTATTGTAGGTTTTATATGAGTGATAGTAGTACACACATATGAGTGATAGTAGTACACACATATGAGTGATAGTAGTACACACATATGAGTGATAGTAGTACACACATATGAGTGATAGTAGTACACACGTATGAGTGATAGTAGTACACACATATGTGTTTACATTTCACAACTGTTTTTCTTTGTTAGTTTTTTTTTGTGTGCATAATATTGAACATACCAGCAGTCAGTGGAGGATCGGGGGGGGGGGGGGCCGGGGCAGGGGGGGGGCGCCCATGGGGGTTTGTGCCTGGGGCACCAAAATGGCTTAATCCGGTCCGGAGGTGGAGAAAAAAAACTTATTGCGTCACTGACTTACAGAACCATTCGACACTCAACCGAAGCCCAACGCTCTACAAGTGTGCTTCGCGACGTCACATTCCACTATGATAACGGTATTTCAGGATGAAAAAAAAGGTTTTATTCCATTGGCAGGCCAAAAAATATATTGTTACATACAAAAATTAATAAATCATTGATTTAGTGCACCCATTGTCTCGATTCTAAACA